ATTTTTCTTGAATGTCCTACATTTTGTGGTGCCTTGTCCTCTTTTGCAGTTATGACATCTAGTCACCCTGTCATAGCCCCTACCCATAAGAGAGTAGCATTTTGGAGGCAAATGCCAGCTAAGCTTTTGATTTTTTCAGGAATGTCCCAATAAATAGGAGTCTCTAGGACAGTGATGGCGAACCTTTTTAGGGCCGGGTACCCAAATTAAAAGGCGTCCCAGCATCGGGTGTTACCTGGTGCTGGGGGTTCGGACTCCTGGGACAGGACTTCCACCTTCCGGAAGGAAGGCCCTGTAGGGTGCAGGGGAGGCGCATGACTGTTCCTCCTCCTCCTCGCCTTCTGCGTGCCTGGAAACATGGCTTCACATGCCATCTCTGGCACGTGTGCCATAGGTTCGCCAACAGAGCTCTAGGATGAGATGATTACAGCAGGCTTCTCATGGGACAGGGAGGAGGAGATCCATCTCTCTTGCACAGCTCATTTCAGATAATACACAGTAAAACTTCCTGGTGAATTATGTTCTACTCTCTGTGTGTGTTTTCGGAGTACATTTCAGTGTTTTGCTTTACTTTTTCCATTTAGAACCCCTAAATTAATTTGAGTCACTGTACCTGGTTCTCCACTCCAGTTTTTACTAACAACAACCTTGTGAAGTAGGTCAGCGTGGGAGAGTGACTGGCCCAAGATTACCCAGTGAATTTCATGAATCAATGAGGATTAGAACCTGAATCTCCTAAGTCCCACTCTAACCACTACACCGGCTTTATATTTAACACATTAGTTACAGTATCTAATACCAAAATATCTTGGCTCAGCCCTGCTATGTTCAAGTGTAAGACCTTCATAACTGTACATATAGAAAAAGGGAGGTTGGAAGGGAGGAGGTGATAAATTTATTGTGGTTAGAAACTCCTTTCTTCCTCCCCTCCCTAGCTCTTTAATAATCTGAGATAGTTTAAAGCAGTGGTGGAAATCATGCACTGCTCCAAATGCTGTTGGACTGCAGCTCCCAGCATTCTTCACCACTGACTGTGTTGGCTTGGTCTGTTAGGATTTTCAAGTTAACACCTGGGCTCCATTCACATTACAATGGACCCTTGGTATCTGCTGGGGTTTGGTTGCAGGACCCCCTGTGGATAACAAAATCCATGGATGCTCAAGTCCCATTCAATACAGTGGCATAGTAAAATCACGACCCTTATATAAAATGGCAAAATCAAGGTTTGCTTTTTGGAATTTATCAGTTTTTAGTATTTTCAATCCAAGAATACTTGAATCCATGGATAAAGAATCTGTGGATATGGAGGGCCAACTGTACAGAGTTACATAGCACTATGTTGCCACTTCAACTTCCATGGCTTTATCATATCGAATCTTGTGGTTTGTAGGCTGGTGACACACCCAAACTCTTTGGCTAAGATCAATATCACACTACACTGTTACTTGGCCCTGAAAAGTGCTATGATTCCACTTTAACGGCTATGGCTGCCTCTTGTGGAATTCAGGGATTGGTAGTTTAATGAAGGCTAAGAGCTCTGTGGCTGAGAATACCCCTCTCCAAACTGCAGATCCCAATAGACTATAGTTTGGAACCATGGCAGTTCACTTTAACTCATAATACTACTATAATTGCGTAGTAGGAAAGAGCTCTTGGAGGCCTGCATGACTTGTACCAAATTTAAGGAAAGGGTTGGCTTTATGTTAAATTATTAACTAGAGACCAACTATGTTTTTATTCTTTAATTTGAATCTACAGTGTAGTATAGTGGTTTGACTGTTAGATTACAACTCTGGGGACCAGGGTTCGATTCCCAGCTTGGCCATGAAACTCCCTGGGTGACATTGGGCAAGTCGCTCTCTCTCAGCCTCAGAGGATGGTAATGGCAAACCTCCTCTGAACACATCTTGCCAAGAAAATCCCAGTCTAGGTTTGCCTTAAGATCAGTCAGAAATAGCATGAAGGCACAGAACAACAATAACAAATATTAATTACCTTTGCTTCCCCATCAATTTTACTATCACATAAGGATGGGATCCCCTAGGACCAATATTCTCCCTAGGCAAAGTGAGGCAGTTGCCTCAGGTGGCAGATGCTGAGAGGGGGCAAGGCAGTGCAGTGTTGGATATACTACTGTTGTGTACCACAGTAAACTTATATACACGGAATGGAAGGAATACACTGTCTTTGCCTCAAGCATCAAAATGTTTTGAGTCAGCCCTGGATCACCCATCTTCTTCTTTGTTCCCTTTCTCCCATAGAACTTGCATATTGTCCTGCTGCACTCTTCTCAACAGTCTGTGCAGCGTGTGGACAAGTGACTTTTTTTTTATTACAACTCCCAGAATCCTCAGGGCTGGGGATTTGGGGGATTATAGTTCAAAAACAGGACAATTTCCCTGCTCTGATTCCATGATGGAGCGTTGCTCTATAGCCTCCCATTTGCTTGTGATTATTTTGTATAGAAAGCTGAGCATGCAGATAGGAAGAGAATCAACACATTTGAAATGTAGCATTGGTGGAGACTACTAGGGATATTAAAAAGACAAATAAATGGGTTGTACAGCAAATCGAGCTTGAACTCTTCCTAGAAAATAACATGACTAAACTGAGGCCGTCATACTTTGGATATATATGATATGACATGATAGAAAGTATGATAATTCTAAATACAGTGGAAGGCAGTAGGAAAAAGGAGGACTATCACAGGATCACCATAAGTAAGGGTTACCATAGCCAAGCAACAGTCAGTACATTGGCTTTATAAAAAGACATTTCCTCATCGCTTCCCTGCCCACTTCACTGAAAAAGAGACTACATTCCCAGCATGTAGGTGGACTCTCAAGTCTACAACAAAAGAACATCTTGTGTTCTGTTTTGGTAACAAATAATAAAGACAGAGAGCGTTGCAGGAAATACAGTTCCCTTTGGGCAAATTCTGGGTAGGCTTGTATGCCTGTGTGAGAATTTGACACAAAGCACAACTCCATACAATACAGCCTTTCTTTGTACCCAAAAGCCCCTGTTTTATTTCTGTTTAATTTCAAAGCCGACTACACCCAGTCCTTTTTAAAAGAGAGAGAGAGAAAAAAAGAACGATACTTTATTAAACGATTCCTGTTTTTAGATCCACAGATAACAAAAGGACTTATTCAACTGCATCCATTCTAGATACATCCCTTCCCCCTCCATCTACCTTTGCTTTCTCTTTGTACAGGTTACAAGGACAACAATGACATCTTGCCTTTGATGAGTTAACAAAGGTAGAAAACATTGAAATGAAATATAAGCAAACAGTGGATTCTGGAGAGGTTGAAGGGTGCAAGCCACAGCTAGGCTCCAAATCTTTCCATTTAAATTCCCTAATTCCACGCGGCAGTGAAAGATACTCAGCTGATGCTCAGAGACACAATCATCTTTATTAGCCCTGTATCCATCTCAGAGAAGATGCTGTCCCTGAAAATAAGTTCCAGGACTAGGTGTCAGTTCAAAGGAAACTTTAGGTTTGCTTACCTCCCCATTTAGCACCCTCTGATATTTTAAACTGGTTTGTGCCATAGCAGTGGTATAACAAATTTTGAAATGAGGTGCTAAAAAATTTTGTGTTGTTTTGCCTTCAAGTTGTTTCCACCTTACTGCGACCCTATCACAGGGTTCTCTTGGCAAGTTTCTTCAGAGGGGGGTTGAGGGGTTGGCTGCCATTGCCATCCTTTGAGGCTGAGAGAGTGTGACTTGCCTAAGGTCACCCAGTGGGTTTTCATGGCTGAACTGGGATTTGAACCCTTCTCTCCTGAGGCATAGCCCAATGCTGAAACCGCTACACCACACTGGCTTCAAAATACCCAATTCAAATCCAAAAGAGCAGGGAGATGTGTTAATGCATATTGTCCATATAGGTCCTTTCCATAGTGGTAGAATTCAAAGATATAGCCATGTTAGTCTGTAGAATCAGTATGGAGAGAGATGTTGTAGCACCTTTGAGACTAACTGAAAGAAGTTGGCAGCATGAGCTTTGGTCTACTTCCATCTGATGCATCTAAGGAAGTAGACTGGTCTATGAAAGCTCGTGCTGCCAACATCTTTATTTCACTTAGGACATTATCACACGGGGAAAATCTGCTGGATAATCCACACAAATCCCAAACA